ATGGACAGCAGGTTATGCACTAATCCTTCTACTAATAAAACATTAGAGATAGAAGGAAGGTTACCGTTTCCAATGGTTCCAGAACCAATAATCTTCCCTTTCTGATTACCTCCAAACTTGACGTCTCCTCTAGCTTTAAAATCTAGGTTTTGGAACATATACTTTATTCCCGTCATGTGTCGTGAGCACCCAAAGTCCAGGTACCATGACTGGTGTCTTAATTGAGCTGTTAAGGACATCTGCAACAAATATTATTTTATCCTTAGGTACCCATATATTTTTGGGTCCTCTTGGGTTTGAGTATTTAAAGTTCTGTTTGAACTTTGGATTATCATAAGAGTTTTCAGAATGTGATGTATATTTTATATCATGTGTGTGTCCAAACTTGAATTGTTTGTTCAGAGGTTTATAAGTGAAAGTCATATTAGCAACAGGTTTTGGTATATATGTCTCCTTCCCTTTGGGAGGTTCATATCCAATTCCTCTTATGTTTTTCCCACTAACTCCATAGATCATTGAAGCCATTTTGCTTCTATCTATGCTTTTAGCAAGAAAATTTTTAAAGCTACAGTCATATTCTTTCAGAATATCTTTTGAACTTGACACAAAATTTGAACTAGAAATTTTTTGAACATTTTGAATTTCTTCTATAAGTTTAAAATTATTTTCTTTGAGTTCAGATTTTTTTGTTTCATGTTTCTCAAGATCAGATGCAAGACTCTTCTTGAGTTTCTTGTATTTGATTTTGAGCTGACTATAGTTTTCCAGAAGTTCTGATAAACTTTCAGCAAGTTCATCTCTAGTAAATTCAGAGAATACCTCTTTTGGATCTGACTCACAATCTGAGTCATCTGCTGTGGTTTCCATCAGAGCTAGGTTGGCGTTCTCATCTTCAGAATCAGATTCATCTTCAGAGGATTCTGAATCGTCCCAAGTTTCCATCATCCCTTTCTTTCTACGAAACTTTTTCTTTGGTTTTTCTCTTTGAAGTTTTGGACAATCACTCTTATAGTGTCCAGGTTCTTTGCATTCATAACATATTATCTCCCTTTTGTTGGACTTTTTGTGTCCAAAAGATTCTGGTTTATCTTCTGACTTCTTGAAGTTCCTGAACTTCTTCTGTCTGTGCTTCCACAGCTGAATGATCCTTCTGGAGAGTAAGGATAGTTCATCTTCTTCTGACGCAGATTCTTCAGACTTTACCTCTTCATCCTGAAAAGCGTTAGTTTCATATTTTTTAATTGATTTAAGGGCAACAGACCTACCTTTCTTATGAGGCTCGTGCTCATCAAGTTCTATCTCATTACTTCTGAGAGCCCTGATGAGTTCTTCAAGAGACACGTTGTTCATATCTTTTGATACTTTGAAAGCAGTGACCATAGGTGCCCATCTTCTGGGTAAGCTTCTGATGATCCTTTTAACGTGGTATGCCTTAGTGTATCCCTTGTTCAAAACTCTCAGACCAGCGATCAGAGTTTTGAACCTTGAGAACATAGCTTCTATAGATTCACTTTCTTCTACTTTGAAGGCTTCATACTTCTGGACGAGAGCCATAGCTTTAGACTCCTTCACTTGAGCGTTTCCTTCATGAGTCATTTTGAGAGACTCAAACATATCATGTGTTGTATCTCTATTTATGATCTTTTCATATTCCATTTTAGAGATAGCATTTAGAAAAATATTTCTAGCTCTATGATGATTTTTGAAATCAACTTTTTGTTGTCTATCCATATTTTTTCTATCAATCTTGTTTCCTTCTGAGTATTTAGGATGTGTGTAACCATCGAACACTATATCCCATAAATCACTATCATTACCTAGAAAGAAAATTTCTAGTCTATCTTTCCAATATTCAAAATCTTCTTCATCAAATGCAAGAGGTTTGTTGTAGCTATTGTTGTTTTGTTCAGTAGCCATTTGTGTTTTCTTCTAGATCTTTTCTTGACACGGTTAAGTGTTGCGCTTAGAGTCAAGCTCTGATACCAATTGAAGGGTGATAAAACACTTAGAAGGGGGGTTGAATAAGTTTCTCTTTTTTCTTTTTCTTAAAGGCTCAATAATAATGGAAAGACACAGTTATTTTTGTCCTGGTTCGTTTGAACTCAAACTACTCCAGTCCACCCGCCAAGGTGATTTCTCCTTTCTCAACAAGGACTTAATTCACTATAATAAACTAATTACAATCACACATCAACTGTTTTGACTAACAATGCACAAGTAATCTTACAAGTGACTAACACCACTAGGACGTAAACTAGTCCTAGTCTACTTGAGAAATCTGACCAAACTTGGTCTCTCAAGGAACAATTACAAGAGTTAAATCTTTACAGATAGTGAAACAAAATTTTCTTCTAAGAAAGCTATATAACAATTGTGATTTTTCACTAATATTAGTATTGCACAAAGTGTGTGTAAAATAATTTGTGAGCCCAGAATATTTTCACGTAGTTCTTGCTTCTTTTTAATTTGTTGAGTTGTTGGCTTGCAATAAATGATCTTGTATATATAGTATGAAGAAAATGACCGTTGCTACCTTCAAAAGTGGAGAACAATTAATGTTTGCGTGTTTGCTTGCAGTATTGCATTTTCCAATGAACTAGTGTAGACACTTGAGTGCATGTAGCCGTCTTTGCATTAAATTAGCAAACGGCACTTTCTCAGAGCATGTTTCCTGAAACTTGACAAGACTTGTTAGCTTCTTTATTCTTTCAGAAATAGCTTCACGTCTTGCTTCAGAACATGGCTTCACGACTTGCTTGCAGAATCCTTCTGAACAAAGCTTGATTTCAAAGTACTTATGAACAACACTTGCTTTCAAAGTACTTCTGAACATGGAAACCTGCTAAACGTTAGAAGATGCATTAACTAATTTCTTATCAGAGTCAGCATCAGCACATCAAAATGCTTCTGTCATAACATTATTTGAAACAATTAAATATGTTCATCAGAGTATCAAATATATAAAATATAATCTATTGTTATCATCAAAACTCTGAGATATGATCAAAACCAATCTTGTTCTAACAGTCCTTCACATTGGGACCAACGACTTTAAAGGACAGAAGGCCAGATCTAACCATTTTTTGGACCTCGGACTTCAAAGGATAGAAATTCTCGATATTGTGCCCAGGGGCTCCCTGGTGGAAGGCACACATCTGATTTGCCTTATAATACCACGGTAAAGGAGACGGTATAGCGGGTGGACTCCTAGTCTGCACTAAATTTTTCTGAATCAGTGCTGAAAATAGCTCTGTGTAACTCATAGGGATGGGATCAAAGGGTTCTATCTTCTGACTCTGCCCTTGATTTCCTTGTTGAGGTGTTCTTTGGTACACAAAAGCAGTCGGAGCCACGTTAACAACCGGAGTGACCGAAGCAACCTGTTGTGGATGTGCATGGCGCCTTCTAGACGGTTTAGCTCTTTTCTCTTGAACAACGGCATTTGCATCTCCTTCCTTCTTTCTAGCAAATCCATATGACGATTTTTTTGCACCACTAAAACTTTCATCTCTCCTCAAACGACCTTCCCTCACAGCTTCCTCTAAGCGAACACCCATACCCACCATTTCGGTGAAGTCACTCAGTGCACTCGCCACCATTCTTTCATACTAGAAGGAACCCAAAGTCTTTAAAAAGATCTTCGTCATCTCCTTCTCTTCCATTGGGGGGATTACCTGGGTGGACACTTCATTCCACATTTGCGCGTATTCCTTAAACGACTCCTTATCTTTCTGGACCATAGCCCTGAGTTGATCGCGGTCAGGCGCCATGTCCACATTATACTTGTACTGCTTAACAAACCCCTCTCCTAGGTCATTGAAGGTATGAATATTGGCACTATCCAAGCTCATGTACCATTTTAGTGCAGCACCAGTCAGGCTATCTTGAAAGAAATGGATCAGCAAATGTTGATCATCAGTGTGAGTGGACATCCTCCTCACGTACATTATTACATGAGCACGGGGGCAAGTATTGCCCTTATATTTTTCGAATTTTGGCACTTTAAATTTTATAGGTACTTTTACATTTGGAACTAGGCTTGATCCCTCACACTTTGTCCGAACAGTTATTTTCCCTGGAGGGCTTTCATTTCCTTTCGCATCTCGTTAAACTGATCCTTGAAGTCATCCATTCTGTCATAGAATCCAATTTCTTCGCTTGGCGGAGAAGTAGGATGGTGAACCACATCATTGACAATAGGGACAACATTCATTACTGGAGGCACAACATGATGGATCTCATTGCTGACAGCAGGAGCAACGTGTACCACGGGAGGGGCAGAAGCCATAACTTGTTGAGCGGATTGAGAAATTTGAGGAGTAGGGTTATATCCTTCTGGCGTATAACCTTCAGGAATTCCCCATGGATATCTAGGAGGCATGCGATGTTGAGTGGTAGTAGTATTTGGAGCAACTGAGATGGGAGCTGTCATAATTTCAAAGACAACTGTTGCTTGTTATGGTTGTGTAGCCTGAGGAGGTGGAGGTGGTGGTGGCTGATTCTGAGCAGCCACCAACGACTCTACCAAAGCAGTCAAGTTTTCCATTCCTTTTCTCAAAGCGGTGACCTATTTGTGCAGTTCACGATTCTCTTGTTTGAGATTTTCCATCTGTCTCTTGAAAGTGCTTCGAGTATTATAACGATGAATATTTATGGTAGCAATCTCTGTAAAGAAACCTGAACCAAAGATAAGAAAACCTGTCGTGACCAACCTGTCATGATACGGTATGCATGGATGAATGATTATGCATGAAGTGTTTTATCATTTCCAGAAGAATCCTTTGGTTTTTTCATCATGTATCGATAAGCAGTAGGATAAACAACAAGATAAACAAAACAAAGGCAAAATATCAGAGTCAATTATGGTAATGATTTAGTACAAATAGAGTCAATTATTAAAGAGGCCCCGTCCAACAAGATTGGCAGTGACCTTGTCGGTCAAAACAAGCATAAAAATATAAGTGCAGTAAAAAGAATTCTCCTTAAGCTCAACTATCCGGCTAATCATTTCCAGAAAAAGGGTCCCCGGTCACAAAGCCCCTCTTCTTTACTAGCGCCAACAAACAATGATATTTGAGTTCCCAATCCTCATAATCTATATTTCCCACTTTGGCCTCTTCAGCTGGACCCTTGTCTTTATTTGCTACCTGGGCTTTGATTGTTGTCAACTCTTTCACAACTTGAGTCAAATGGACATCCTACTCTCTCAACTTTTTCTTTAATATATTAACCTCCTCGCAATACTTAGCTTCCAATTCCCTTTTAGACAATCGAAGGTTTTCTATCTCTTGATGCTTAGCCTGTAGCTCTTCAACCTGTCGAATGGTAGTATCAGAACCCTCGACCCTAGGTCTTTTCGACCGCTCAAGCAAACCATGTTTTTCTAACAACTGGTTCTTCAGCTTAACCTCTTTCATGAGCTTTTTCTTGCCTTGCAAGGCAAATGACATATCCACATCCATTTCTTCCTTCCTAGTATGGAGTTTGAGGTTTTCGGCCATGACATTCTTAAAACACGTTACAGGCATGACCTCTAATCCTTCTGTGACCGGCTGCACAATAAACGAATCAATATGGAATAAAGAATTGTTTGCCTGAACATCCGCTTATGGGTCGAAATCAGGTTGAGGATATAGCAACCTCCCCCTTTTATAAGGTAACTGCACTTCCCTCACATGATCCTGAATCCAGCTTGTATATGTATCATAAGTTACACTTCCATTCTGGCTGAAAGAAAGTTTCCCTTTACGGCGAATATGTCCCCATGCTATCTTCACCTTTTCAAGCAACACTTCATCTTCCCCTTTACCGAAATAAACAGTATCCCTCACCTCCTGCTCATTGGGTCTATCTAACATTGCAAATCCTAATTGACGGTGCGCCAGGATAGGGTTATAATTAATGCACCCCCTTGTCCCCATAAGCGGGACATTAGGGAATTCTCCACACCCTATAATGATCTCTTTTAAACCTATCACACTTTGCCAAACAATATCATATGAGTTGAGTCCCATGATACGCTGAGACGATAAAGATGAATCGACAACATGAACAAAAGGCCCTTTTGTAGGCATATGCATCATCAACCATTTATAAAGCGCGATCACGCAACACATGACTTCCCCTTTATTCCCATGTTGGGAATAGATGGTGTAATAAGTGTCGGCGAGTAGGGTTGGTACGGGGTTACCGTTCATGAAGACATACAATGCAGATAGATGCACTAACTTCTCATATACTGGAAAGAGGACCAGACCATAAATCATTACTTCCAGCAGTGCATTAAATGCGGTCCAATTCATGTCTTTTGCAAAACCCTTGGCCTTTAATATCAAGTAATTCAGAGGGAGACCGCTTGTGTCGCTTTTGTTAATCCAATTACTTTTAACTTCAACATGAGTCAAATAAAGAGCTCTGGCAATCTCCATATAGTCTGGAGTCTCTGGTGTTCGAACAAAAGGAATAATGTTGGTCACTTTAACATCCATAATGTGCGCATACTCTTCGAGAGTTGGTGCCAATTGATAATCCCGGAAAATAAAATAGTGTAACTGCGGATCATAGAATTGAAGAAGTGTTCTCATGGCCCATTCTTCAAAATCATCATTCACCAACGGCAATAAGTTTCCATATTGTCCTCTGAAAAAAATTTCATTTGGTCCTTTCACAAGAGCTCCCATCTCTCCTAATCGACCACCAAAGCATGGGAACTGATAAGCAGCAGTGTTTTAAAGTGGCTATGAACATGTCTTCATGTTGTTATCCATCTTCGATGCTGATGACATACCTCAGAATAATCCTGGAAATGAAATGCAAATGCAGGTTAGGCAGTTATATATATTTTTCTTTTTTGCGTTTCTTTTGTAAAATAATTATGCCATGATGCAAGTGCGATAAACATAAGATCGAAGTTTCTGCAATGCTGGATAGTTTCTGAACTGATAACAGAACCACTGTCATATGTAATAATATGAAAGGTCCGGACCAAATTAGAATAGAAAGGATCAAAGTCATCAGTATAATCAAAGTCACCAACAAAACATGTATAGTCACCATGTGTACCTGTAAAGATTATTCCCTCCCCACTCACGGGTAATGTTCAGGTCATGGTAAGGTCAATGGTAACTCAGAATCGAGGGTGCTCCTGAAAAACTATCGCCATATCACCTAGGTGAAAATGATAGACCCTCATTTGTACCTCATCTGAGCGTGAACGACATGGCGGCATAGTGAAATCTAAGTCAACTAGCCGTTTATGTTCCACTCTATTCCTAGTTTTCATATTGTTTCCACTTGGTCTAGGTATTGGGCCTTTTAACTCATAGTAACATCCCACCCATCAAGAAACAGAGAAACCAGAACAGCAACAATATGACAAATAACGATAAAGATGAAATGCAAACATATGCTCAAACATATACAAATGAATAATCCATAATGATAAACACCCTAAGAAAATAAAAGCGGGAGCTAGGAGTGACTCACGGGATGGACCAGAAATTGGTCGACATTCTTTCCCCAGTGAAGTCGCCATTTTCTGTAGCGGTAAAATTAATGAAGTTGCCACCGAGTATTTATTTATCCCATATAAAAGGGAAAGGAAAATCATCGAAGAAAAACCTAAGGGGGGAAATAAAGGTCTTGCGACCGAGAGATTAGGTAAGGGAGTAGAATACGTGAGGGTAAGGTATTAGCACCCCACACGTCCATAGTCCTCTACGGGATCCACTCTCGTTATTCTAATCAAAGAGTGTGTTCAATCTAATGCTTAAGGGTTATAAACTAAGAGAGAATGCATGCAAAGAAAAGAGAAATAATGTAGGGAAAATATAATTGTACTCGCTTGGGCCCTACCCCAATGCCTACGTATCCTTTTTGAGGAATCAGAGCTACCGTAGTTTGGCTCATATATTTTGTTTGTTTGTATTTTTTAAATGAACAATGCTGCATTCAATCATTCCACCGCTGCTCGACCTTTAGAGACTTATGACCTATAGTGGAAAGGAGCTAATAGGCTCTTAGAAGAGAAAAGCCGAATGGCGAAAAGAAATGGATTGGTTGGTATTTTTTATCATGAAAAGAATTTTTGTATGCTTAGCATTTTTTATACATTTGCTAAGAAAAAAGAAGTTTTAGTTTTAAGTGCAATTATGCAAAAATGGGAAGAAAACATCTAAGGGTGACTAACCTATCTCTAACCTAATGTTATCATACAATGAAGGATCCTACCTAAGTTAGAATGGCAAAGAAAGTCTAACAAGATATCCTATAGGGAACATGCACTGAGAGCGAAGTCGTGATCTCAATTTATAAATTGAGTGACTCATCGATCAACAAGAAATAAAGGAAAGCGATAAAATCATATAGGGGGCATACACTGAGAGCGAATTCATGATCTCAATTTCTAAATTGAGTGACTCATCGATCAATAAGAAATAATGGAAACAAACACAAGCACAACACATATAAGAAATGAAGTGCGGAATGCCTGCTACAGGTCTTTAAACAGCGACTTCGAGCACACGCTCTTTATTTCCTACTTCTCATGATATCTAGAAAAGCGGTAAGTGCCGAAATATAACTTGGAAGCAGTATAATACCAAATGAACAATGACGCCCACAAAAAAGCACAACCAAAGTAAAGAAGTCTGAGATACTTCGTACGAGCTGGCATCAACAAACAAACAGTCAGAGTTCGAATATTTGGAATAGGTGTTGAAACTTCGTCGATGTGAAAATAAATCAAAATCGGAATCCAAAACACATCCACATATCAAATAATGAACCTGCATAAGAGTCAACTCAACAAACAAAGGTGAATCGCAATTTTCAAGTTATCAAAAAATTCATAAATAAATTTTCTAAAAAATCAAATGAGAAACCCAACAAATTTATTGATTTTTTAGTTTATTACCTAAAACGATGAAAGGCATCCCCAAGATCTATATTTTTTTTATTATATGTATTTTCCTATTATTTTTATTATAAAAGAAATTTAAACAAAAAAAACTAAACAAAATCAAAAAAAGGACATAGGAAGTATAATTGATCAGGGGGTGTATGGCTGAACTGGGGAGTGCAGTGTAGTAAATTGGTGCTAGGCCCAAGTTGGCTAAGTCCAATAAAAACAAAAAAAATTTGTTCACCTTCAGCATTAGATGCCAAAAATGGCGTGACATGGGCCTAAGTGGTGCAATTTCGGTCCACAAACCCTTATACAACATCCACCCATTTTCAGTATTTAAATTAAATTATTAAATAAAACTGATATATCCAAACAATTATTAAAACATATTAAATAATGGAAAGGAATTAGGGTTGAAAAAAGGGGGGTGACGTTTCATCTTCTCAACGGACCTCTTCTTCTCTTTCTGTGAATCGGCGCATCCTCTTTCTGCTACTGTGAAGCCGTGGCTGCCGTGAATCACCGCTACCACTCGTCTCTCTCTGTCTCAATCCTCTCTGCAGTTTCGTCTGTTACGTGATTTCCAACCTTCTCTGATCCAAGCTTCGTCATTGTTGTCTCATCTTCATCTTCAAATTCAACGCGCGATCTCCATCTCAAATTTCTTCGTCTTATTTTCGTCATCTCTGATGCATAAAAAACATCTCCGATTCAAATCCGCATCTCCGTCGTAATTGCGGTTTCGCCTCGTTCGCGGTTCTCAACACTTAGGCAAAAAAAAGTGCAGAAAAAAAAGAAGTAAAAGAGATAAGATTTACCTATCGGAAGCTAACTCCGACGGTTCTTCAAAGACGTTGAAATCTAGAAAACCAGAGGTAATACTCTTCTACTTCTCTGTGTTTTTCTTGTTCGAAAACTTTTTCATCTTCTTTTCTTTGTTAATTTCTTCATTTTTTGCGTTTTTGCGAGGTTGGTGTCAGTACGCAAATTTTTATGATAAAGTTGTTTCGCAGTAGTTGAAGATGATGCTGAAACTTGAAGATGCAGATTGAAGATTCTTGAAGGTGAATCTTGAAGAGGATTGAATATTTTTCAGAATTGATGAAGATGATGATTAAGGAAGGATGTCGACAAAATTGAGAGGAGTTCTTGATGAAGTATCAAGAGAATGTTGCAGAATGACGGTGAATTAAGAAAGAGAGAGATTGAGATTTTTCTGTGTGATGCTCCAAAATTGAAGAAGCGTGAATGGAGAAAGTGGGGATGAGAGGTAATTTTGAGTTTTTTCTGTGTTGAATCGTATCTCCCCTGTGGCTAATTCTGAAGTTCTGTTATATAGTGATAGAGTTTGTTATAGAATTAATTAGAGGGTTAGAAATCGGTTAGGATAAGAGCTGGTAATGGGAGGTTCGTTCCAGGTTTCTAATCCCCCCAGGAACTTCAGTTAGAAGTTAGTTATGGACTCCACAATTCTGTTATTTTGCTAAGGGGGTCATGAAATTATGTTAGAGAGTTTTTTTTTTTTGGAATTTAGTTCTATTTGTTAGTTATGTTTAGAGTAGTTAGAATATCTGTTAGAAAAAAAAGGTTAGGAACGAGCTGTTAGATTCTGTTGGAAAGATTGAAACTCTGTTAGGCTTCAGTTACAGGAATTTTGTTGACTGTTATTTCCTTTTACAGGTAGTTATTAGAAATTCAATACTTAGCATCGTTACAGTGGGATTGATCTCAAACAACTAGTAGCTTATATACTTCCATCACATGTTAAAGCACCTCGCACATTCTATTCTTCTTCTTGCCACTTGCAACGACAGTAATTGGTTTCTCAACAATTGATTCATCAACTGCAACAAATTTGTCCCCAGCAATTGACTTCCCTCCTGCACTTGGTTTAAATCATGCATATGATTTTTCGCCCGCACTTGCAACTGATTTCCAACTGCACTTGGTTTCAAACCTGCGACTGGTTTTTTACCTGCACCCAGTTTTTTTTCAAAGGAGCAGCACAACTTATCTGGACAGGCCTTCCAAACAAAGCACTTTGATCCAATGCAAGTGTTGTCTTGAGTGACTTACTATCACTTAAATCCACATGAGCATACCCTCGGAATTTGCCAGTGTCATGAAAAGTCATACAATTAATTTCAGTAATGGTGCCACAGCTTTCAAAATAACTATGAATACCATTCTCACTTGAATAGTAGGGAATTCCTCCAACATGAACTTTTGTAGCAGCATCATCGTTTTCTTGAGTGGTAGTGATATTGGTATTAGCCAACTCAGTAGTAAGCTCTGACATTTCTTTTCAATGATTAGAACCACCTCCCTCAGCAGCTTTAGCCTTCTTTATCTTTCTAAGTTTCAAGCACTTTTCATTGGTTGACTCATAAAGTCTTGCTCTTTAAGAATGTGAGAGGACTTTTGACATTTCAAAATAATCTTCAAATTGAAACTTGCACAACCTTAATCTTTTTCTTCAACCTCACTATTTTGGATGCTTGAATGTCTTCAAATAAAATATTTTGGTTCTTTCTTTGCCCATAACAATTTGAATGAAATCATGGATGAAAATTCAAGGATACGTATAAGACATAATAGGAAAACTTGTAACACCCTTAAGTTGATAGCACAATGTAGTTCTGATTATTAAAGTGGGACACCTTATATTGATCATTAATATCTTAAAAGTGATTGATCACTGTAAACACCATGAAATTCATTTTTGTCCACAAAGAGTTCACAAACTTGTCTTTTGCGCCATCTTGGTCAATGAATCTAAATCTTCAATTGAAATCTCAAACTCAAGAAGCCACACGAATCATATCAACAAGCTTGGGTGAGATCTTAATTAGTAGCTTAATCAATAATAAGTACATTGATTCGATGAATTCTTCGACCAATCCTTAACCATTTAACAACTAGCATTAAAAGAACTAAGCCCTTGACTAAATCTTCTGAACTTCTTGAGAGGAATGTCTTGAGATATAACGATTAGAATAAACCCTGATTGATGATGATGAACTCGCAATAAAGGGAAGAGTAGTGCTCAAAGCAGCTATGGAGTGAGATATTAATTCAATAAGTCTCCATAGAGGAATCACTACCAAGTTCGAATAAAATGAAGAGAAATCCTGATTCTCTGGCTGAGTTAGGCCTTAATACCTTTGTTCCTTGAAAGAACCATGATGAAGAAAAATTTGTATCTTGAGGAAACCTGATATCTAAGACATCTATGCTTCTTGAGATCCAAAACCCTAATCTCATAACAAGAAAAATGAGAGTGCCAGTTGAATCAATTTTGAGCAATACGAAGGCCTCCATTCAGAGAGAGAAACCCTAATGCCAAAGCTCTTCGATCTTATAACCACGAGAACAATGCTATGTGAAAAACGTACAAAGTATGATGAGGGATCTTAGGGGAAAAAATTGGGGTACAACAGCTGCCCTTATTTAAGTGTCTTCTATCTGAAGATACGAAGATTAAAATCTTCGTTTCGACGTGATTGATGATACTTAAATATAAAACAAGCCCTATTTTTGGCCCCAAGATACCATGCGATGCTTATGATTATGGATGTAACGTATGAATTTCATGCAGATGGGCAAGACACACACTGGAGAAGCAAAAGTAGAATCTACAAATTAACCAAAATAATTCAACCAGGATAATAAACCTATGGAGAACAACACGACTTCTGGGATAGAAATTTGAATCTATTGGGGACGAATTGGCTCCGCTGGGGAAAAGAAAACTCAACTTTACTGGGGTAAGATCCGAGTGGAAAGTAATGGATGACAACAGTTAACTGATACCTATGAACTATCCACTCATAGAGGAGATAGAAAAAAGAGTGTAACATCAACACAGGGGATCGACAATCGCTAACCAGAAAGAGATCAATCTTACCTAAGAATGGTAATGAACTACCCACTCAAGAATGAAGGTAAAAAAAAAACAAACATAGGACAATACTGACTTTTATTGAAGGTAAATAAACAGAAGATATATTGACGTTTACTGAAGGTGGAGAAAAGAGAATCCACCAGCTTTTATTGAAGGTGACGTCTCAAAGAGTAATAACAAACTTACCAAAATTATGGCGTTCTTCCTAGAACGAGTAAAAATACAAGCTATCTCAAATAAAGAGACTACCACTTGTAAAGATTTCTCAAAAAAAATTCCTTGCGAAACTTCCTCGAAGAGATACCATTTGATGGAGAATCAGATAAACTTCCCCTCGATCTTAACTATAAGCCACAAATTGGTCTCAGTTTCTTCTTTAACCAAGATATTTCACTTGGAAAGGGTAAAAATACAATCTATCTCAAATAAAGAGACTACCACTTGTAAATATTTCACAACAAACTTCTCTTGCGAAACCTCCTCGAAGAGATACCATTTGATTGAGAATCAGATAAACTTCCCCTTGATCCTGACTATAAGCCACGAACTGGTCTCCGTTTCTTCGTTAACCAAGATATTTCACCTGGAAAGGGTAAAAATACAAGTTATCTCAAATAAAGAGACTATAACTTGTAAAGATTTCACAACAAACTTCTCTTGTGAAACATCCTCGAAGAGATACCATTTGATGGAGAATCAGATAAACTTCGCCTCGATCCTAACTATAAGCCACGAACTGATCTCGGTTTCTTCTTTAACCAAGATATTTCACCTAGAAAGGGTAAAAATACAAGCTATCTCAAATAAAGAGACTACAACTTGTAAAGATTTCACAACAAACTTCTCTTGTGAAACTTCCTCGAAGAGATACCATTTGATGGAAAATCATATAAACTTCCCCTCGATCCTGACTATTAGCCATGAACTGGTCTCAGTTTCTTCTTTAACCAAGATATTTCTCCCAGAAAGGGTAAAAATACAACTGTAGGAATCTTTCAACGAACTGTCTTTATCATTGAAGTACAGCTAAGCTCAACAACAAACTATCTCCCATGATGACGAGACTACCATTCATTGGAGTATCAAATTTTCATCTACGAACTACATTCCATAACGACTAGGCTACCAATCATTGGAAAAAACATCTTCTTACGTTAACAGACTTACTGGGAGGAACAGGTTACTCAAATAAAGAGAACTGTCGCTTGTCGTGTTAAGAAGGAATTGTAATAAGACTGGCGAGAAAAGAAGCTTGATTTCCTGGGGAAATACTAATACATTCCTGTTGAGGAGAAAAAGTCTTTGCGTGCAAAATAAATGCACATTCTAAAATCAAGGCTCGAGGCCTACAGAAATCAGGATAATAATGTTGTCGGGGACTATAGACTCAAATCAGAAACAAACTGGGATGAGATAATCAACCAAGTCAGCACCCGATGAGAAATAAACTCAAAAGGGGATCATACCCCATCCAGATAATGAACCGAATGGGAAGGATGGAGCAAAAATCTTCCACGAGGGATAACTCGGTGGGGAAATTGAAAGAATATACACTTTCTGTTTAACATTGATAACTCTATTGGAGAGAGAGTAACATAACTATGCAAAGAGGATAATATGCTGACAAAACATTAATGAATGCAAATGAGTGATGAATTTTAAATTCATTTGTGCATGATGTGTGATTGTATGGATGTTATCATGCGCATGCTGATAAAATAACCATAGTGCACTGGGGATAACCAGACAAATCTAATCTTGGGTGAAGACAACACTCGGCCAAGTTACATGCAGGATGAAGATTAGGTGCCACGAGAGAGTAAGCATCAACAGAGGAAACAAAGTCTTATTTCATGGCTTAACTTCACTGGGAGGAAACATGGCTTGAAGGCAAACCAAAAACCACCTGGCTAGCAACAAATAAAGTTGCGAGAATATCATAAACTCTTCTATGTCTCACCGCGGAATACTAATTCGGACTTCGATAAGGGAAGAGGAAACTTCATCGTTTAGACTTCACTGGAGATTCCAGAACTAACTTCACTAGGGGAAGATTAAAATTATGTCGTCGAGACTTCAACTGGGGATGTCAATACAGACTTTACCGGGGAAGATGCAAAACTACATCGTTGATACTTCAACTGGGGGTTGTTATGCTAACTTCATTGGGGAAAAGGAAGCCATGCACACCAAAGAGAGCCTGGATACAACCTTCACTATTAGGCATAATAGTTGTGAAAACTTCTCTGGAGAGAGATCACGGAATTTCATGGGATAACAACTTCAGAGGGAAGTATCATATTCAACATATCTGGAGAATTTAAGAAGTCGACAGCACAGTAATGGGTCAGCTCATGGGGATTTTAAATCAAACTCAGCACATAGCGAGAGAAAACCCAAGGAGTAGACACTTATCTCAAAACTTCTTAGAATGTATATTGCCCTTGTCTGGTTGCTTAGAGGAACACGACAACAACAATACCATAACTGAAAGGCATAATAACCTGTTGAAGATTCTACATTACTTCTCAACACGAAGGGAGAAAGAGTTCAACAACTAAGTACATGCTTTGTAACTTTGCAACCTTTGCTTGATCACCTTCTGACCACAGAAGGAAATTACACTCAATCGGAGAAATATGAATCGGGACCTGACTGAGGAGGATGGGATTACAAACCCAACATCAAAAAGCTGCTCGAAAACGATCTGAACCGAGACTTAACTAGGGAAATATGGGAACACAGGCCCAAATGCCACATCATGTATTAGCTTGTATGAGATTCATCTATCCCAAGAAACAGTATCATGAATGGAACACGCGCATATTAGTAAGAGCAGTCAGGGGACTTTTCAAATTTAGGAGTTCGCACATTCTAGGAATCACTACTTCTGTACCACTCGAATCACAACATCTGAAGTAAAAGGTAGTTTGTAAATTCTTTTCAAAACATTTTTTTATTATTGAGTCTTTTTAATTTGAAAATTTCTATCGATAATAAATTAAATTTTTGTGAACATAATAAAAGTAAGAACTGCAAAGAATTGGATAAAGGCTCAAACTTTATTAATAGAATGGTATTCTGCGAACGGCAAGACTCCATAGATAATTACAAAGTTTGAAAAATGGTAAATATATGGAAAAGATACATTTGAATACAATGACCACTGTTCTCCCTAACAACTTCGAACTCCTGAGTAAAGACTTCAGTTGAAGTGTGATGAGAGTCTGAGAAGATTGTTGCTTCAATGATCAACTCTTGTCTGACGCAGTTACTTTCCAAGAAATCCCTAACTTTTGCCTAGGTTACCCTTGCGGGTTTTCAACCTACCAGGAAGAATTTATTCTATTTATGTCTTTAATTTTTGCCTAGACTGCCCTTTTGGGTTTTCAACC